TAGTATTTTGTTGATCACTCATTAGAATTAAGTTTGTTACTTTCTTCTATAAGAATATCTTGTAGTAAGTTGTTAGTGGTGGTAGTATAGGGGTTGTCAAATATATACCATTGTGAAGATGATAAATCATTAACTGAGAATAAGAAATTTGAAATATTGTTGTAGTTGAAGTATTGTTTTAGTATTTCTATTGCTTGAGGAATATTTAATTGATCTATTATTAGGAACTATAGATTGATTGCTAGTTGTTTAGTTTTGAGAATATTATTCAGATCCTCATTATTATTAGATAGCTGTCTGTTATCAGTAGTTGTTTCTAAGGTTTTTTTTTTTAGAATATTTATCTATTTATCTGGTATTGTATGGAAGTAATAGAATTTCCTAAGTGCACGTGCTGCTATAGTCAAATCTTTAGGAGTTGCAATTAGAAAAATGAGATTAACTTTAGTTATTAGATTTGGATCTTGTGAGAGATCAGGTTTCCCAGTGTAGTTGAAAATTATATATTTTAGTGGAAGAGGATCTAGTAGATTGTAGTAGGATTGAATAGTTTAGAAGAATTGATGAACGTTGTCCATTTTTTCTATAAGGAAGTTAATTTGTTCAGGTAACTTGAGTTGAGAGAAATCTTCAGGAAGACGTCTTTTACTAATTAGATAATCATTTGGTAAAATTAGAAATACATATTCTTCTCTTAGAATTTTAATATATTCTTTGAAATCATCTGAGTCTTTAGGATGAAAAGGGAAGATTCTTCTTAATTATGGAGTAAGTAATTGTGGAGTTAGTGGTAGTAGTAATTTAGATGAAGGGAGGTCAAAATATTCTGGAAGAATAGTTTTGAAAAGATAGTGAGCTTGGAGGTATTGTTTGTAGTTTTTTAGATTTCGTAGTTTTGCATGAGTAGTAATAGAGAAGAATCTGCAAGTCTCTTTATTTAGCTAGTTGGAGTGAACGGGTAATAGGATTCTTTTATCTATAATATATTCTTTAGGAAGTCTTTAAATATATATATTTTGAAGACTTACTACAATAACTCTAATTTTACGTAAGTTTGCAATTGGGAGAGTAAATAGTAGTTTAGTAAGGATAGGATCTGGTATTTCATTTGAAGTAGGAGGTAAAGTAATTAGTTGTTTGCTTTTGGCTGTATTGATTATTTTCTTTAGAGAGTTAAAATCGAGTTTAATCAGAATTTTAGTAAATCTAGTGAGATATAGAGTATAGCAAGTGATTTCATGAGTATCTAATTCAGTGAATTCTTTGTTAGTCCAATAGTCAACTACTATTTTTTCCTTAGCATATCGAATATTTGATCTTTGTTGTTCTTGTTGATAATTGCTATATTATGGAGAGTTTTGTATTTTTTGATTGCTGTATTAAGTAAGTATTGGAATTCTTTTTGATGAACTGGTATTGAGTCATTATTTCGTGTAAAGATTCTAATAAAGGAGCAATCAAAATAAAAGAGTTTTGTACTTATTCCCAGTAGAATGTATTCCTGAGTAGGCTTAAATTGAAGTTTGTGCTCAATTAGTTTTTGAAATTCTGTTGGAGAGGAGAAAGCAGTAATAATTTTATCATGAGTCTATAGTTCTTTGTCAAACTATAGTGTTTTTAATGAGGAGAGTACTTGTCGAGTTGAGTTTACTCAAGTTTCTATGAGTCGAGTTAGGTCTGAGTGCTGATTTGTTTTGGAGTTACTGGATCTTGCTACTGCTTGGCTATATGTTTTTGTATGTGTATTGATTCTTGCTAGGTCTGTTGTTGATGCAACATCTAAGTTCTGATTGGTATCTTTGTTGTTGTTATTGTTTATATTTGGTTCAGGGCGTAGGAATATTTCTGTTGTTTGCATAAGATCTTGTGCTTAAGTATTACCTATTTTGGTTTGTGTTGTGTTTTGTGATATCATGTTAGTAATAGTTAGGGATAAGCTGAATTTGCCTTTTTTTGTTGTTTTTTCTGATGTAGTTGTTATTTCATTAGAAATATCTTGGGTTTAATATAGAGAATATCTACTAGTCTTTCTTTTTTTGAGTTGTTGGTTAGTTTTTTGTTCACTATCTGAGTCAGTATCTTGTGTTAGATAGGTAGTTGTATCAGACATATTTATGTCATCTTCTTGGTATATTGCTAACATTATTAGTGTTAGTGAACACTTGTTGTTAGAGGAGATTGCTGTAGAAATAGTCTTTCTATTTCTTTTATTTATTGTATTCTTGTATGTGTTCTACTATTTGCTAGATATTTATTTAATTAGTTAGTTATATAGATATGATATTACAAGTGGTAAACTATATTTCTTTTCCTGTAGTTTATTTTTCTTAGTAAATTGAGATCTACAGGAAAGAGTTTTTTCTGATTATTCTATATATAAAATTTACATAAATATTGATATAAGTTATATATATTTTATTTTTCTTACCTTGAGGTATTAGTAATACTATTGTCTACTTTGATTGTAGTTTAGTATGTGTTGAGATTATTAGTTCAGTGCAAGGAAGTTCATCATTACACAAACTAGCAACTTCAGTAGGAGAAAAATATACAGAAGTTCCAAAGCATAGCAATGAGTGAGCTACAATATACTCTGCTAATAGGCTATAAATTGGCTATTGCCAAAAATTGTACTTGGATATTTCTGTAATAGTTTAATACGTGATTTTTTTTTTCTTTATTTTCAGCAACTAAACTTTTATTTTTTTTTTGATTTCAGTTAGGTACAATATTTGCTAAGCATGTTCCTGCTAAATTATATACAGCAGCTATAATATCAGATCTTTCTATTATATTATATCCTATATGAAAATACTGTTTGATAGTATGGCTTATCTAGAAAAATAAAATCAAAAATTATATATTACGTTTATTTTTTTTTTTTCTTTTGACAATCATATCATGAACTTTATTAAGTTATTAACTATGGCTATAACTAAGTTAAATATAATTTACGAAATCTACTTAATTTCCTAAGTCTAACATCATTCAGCTACTTCTAGAATATTCAGATATAACCTGTCATACTAGCCAAATAGCTAAAACAATTTGTCTAACTAATTCAAAGAAAACTCTACTATCCTATATCCTCTTCCTTAATTCCTTTTTTAACTATATTCTCCACTAAAGCTATTATCTAACTTTTTTTTCTTCTCTTTTCTTCTTTTTCTTTATAAGCACCTTTTTCCTTTCTTCATCTGCTCAGATTCTCACTTTAGGTATGGTCTCTTTGGTTTTGTTTCTTTTGAGCTTTGTTGTGATTTCTTTTTCTTTTTCCTAAAGAATTACCTTTTCACAATGCCAGTTCTATATAATTTCTGCAAAGCTCCTTTGAGTTATAAAGAAAATGCTATCTAACTAGATTCTTTTAATACTTTTTTTCTGTACTAATACTTCTATATCTTCTGCTATTTTCTTTTCTTCAAATCTAATAACTAGCTCTAACACACTAACAAATAATATTCCAAATATCAAAGAAAAAATTAATTTCACAACACACAATATTAAAAAGTTCAACAATCATATTAAACACCAACAATGGATAACTTATTGCTTACAAAATAATTTTCATATTATTTCAATTACAGAAACAAAACTAAAAGAATCT